CTCTGAATAACAGATGAGTAAAATACTTCATAAAAACAAAAATGTCTGAACATGTTTGATCAGTGTTTCAGACAAACATCAGTTCTGGAATGAAACTCTTCAGATAAACATTAGATACAGTCTGACACACACTGACACCTACAACACACCTGACCCCGCCCCCCCGTCACCGTCACACACTATCATTAAATAAGGCACACATTTACACATACAGTTAAAATTTGGCTAGTAATTATTCCTTTATTTACAACCAGGAGCCACAGAGTTAATAATCAGAGTAAGTGCAGTCCGTTCTACGTTTTGTCTTCGTCCTCAGACACCAGACGGCTCTTTGACTCGTCCTCTTTGGGTCCAAACATTCTCTTATTACCATGTGGGAGGAGCCGGCGGGCGTGTGGAGCACCGATCTCATGGAAACATTCTGGAGGATGCTGAATGGACCAGATGGCGTCTGTTCTGACACGCCGTCTGCTGCGACGGGAAAAGAAAAGAGAGAAAAGACGAGAATAGCTGCTTCGTTGAAGGACTTCCTTTCTCTCATCAACACCGACACATTTGGTTCAGTGTTTGGAGCCAGCCGACGATGTGTGGATGAAGTGCATGATGGGATGTCTCTCTCGGGGGGCAGGGCCTGTTTGATACGCCCAGAGATGACAGAGTATAGTAAGGCAAAGACAGAACTACTCTCTGGGGAATCTGTTCACCACAGGTTACATATACTGCATATGTATATGTATACATATACGGTGTGGATATAAACACACATATATATACACACACATGCATAATATAAACACATTCGAGGGTGGGGGCGGGGCATGGGGGCGAGGGGGCAGGGACTGGTTACCAACACTACATCAGAAAAGGTTTGAAGCAAAGCATGAATCTAAGCATCGCAGGAGCTTTAAGTCTTGGAGATGACTGATGTTAAAGTTCTTCCAACGTTATAAATCCACACTGAGGACATCGGCAGCCTAAACAGGAAGTGGTGGCGTCACGTCACCTGAGTCAGCGGTTCTATTATAAGCAAGTAGCTGAGCAATACCAATATGGTACAAAGATATCCGTCGGACAAAAAGAGGAGGGACAAACAAGTTTGGTTGAGGCTTTCGTCCACAGTTGAAGGTCTGAGACCTCGAAGCCTTTCCTCAGAGGGAAGTTCCTGTGAGAGGACGCACTGAGGGGCGGTCCCTCTGCAGTCCAGGTGTGGACCTCCTCAGTAGTTGAACTTTCCCTGCTGGCTGACGGGGGACGTGGCGGGTATGAACAAGGGTTTGGGAGGGACGTCGGGTTTGAGAGAGGAGGCCCGGCGGACGATGGCACCCCTGTGTTGGACATCCGGCTGCTCTCCATTGTAGCTGTGCTGGCGGGTCAGGTACCCGTTGGGGATGAGCGGGTAGTGAACCTCGCAGGCGCTGCCCGTCGAGTTCATCCGTGCCAGGAGGGGCGGCGGCTGGTGAGGCACACCGTTTCGTTGGCTGAAGCTGTGCTGGCGAGGTATCATTCCTCCTCCTCCTCCCCCTCCTCCTACTCCGCCTCCATTGGGCATCTTGGCGGCTGCGGCGATCAGAGAGTGCCTCTGGGAGGAGTGTCTCCTCTCCAGGGTGGACTGGTGGTGTGGGGGAATGTCCGGAGGGACATCCATGCGTCGGGTGAGGCTGTCTCGAGGTAGAGTGGACGAGCTGTAGTAGGGGGCGGACTCTGTCTCAGGTATCTGAGGCTGGATGCGGTTGGCGAACGCCAGCTGACCTCCACCGCCACAGGCCATCAGACCTGATGGGCTCATTAACTGGGAGTTCTTGGCGCCGCTGGCCTCGTGGATGTGCTTCAGGAGCTCATCCAGTGATGTCACCTCCATCACCTTCTGGGAGTACCCGGCGTATGGCTGCTGAGACAGCACGCGCTCGACATTGTGGATTTTGCGTTCCTCTGGATGGAGGTGACCTCCAACCAGCGGCTGCCCGTTCGACAGGCCGTGGGTGTAGGGGAAGACCTGCTGGTGCAGGAGGGCGGAGCTTGGCCTGGAGCCACCGTTGTGGGACTTTGGTTCCTTGGCGTTGTTGCAGTTCTGGTTCTTCTCCCACTGGTTCTTGAAGGCCTTCATGCTCTTGATTGGCAGTTCGGGGGTGGAGTCGGGCGTAGGCAGACCAGACAGCTCGGAGGAGTGGTGGAGGTGGTGGTGATGGTGGGGGTGGACCAGGTCCCCCATGGTCATTGCGTGATGTCCGTTTCTGCGTGGCGGGTGGTGCTCCTTGCTGTTGGCGAAGAAGGAGTTGTAGATCTTAGGGGAGGACACCTCCAGCTTGTCGTCCTTACTCTGACTGTCCAGGAGCCCGTTGAGTTTGGCGAGGCTGCGGAGCGACAGCGCGTGCGGGATTGGCGCCTCGGGATCCTTCGCCAGTTTCTTGGTCTTGTGGCCCACGTGATTACAGTAGCAGGAGACCAGGAAGCCGGAGAGGAAGGCTCCGAGGACAAAGGCCACCAGAACACAGGCGATGAGGAGGGTGTAGTGGACGCTGTGGTTGGTCTTGTCCAGGTCGGGCGGACGCCTCACACCTGAAAACAGGAAGACAGAGAAGAAGAAGAAGACGTGAGCTTTTCTGACACACACACAGATTTTCAGGAGCTAATGTAGGTCAGGCAGCAGCTGGGACACACAGGTTGTGTTTACTATGAGGACGCAGCATGAGACGTGTCTGAACTGAGCGCTTGGCTTCGTCTGCGTCTACCGTTAGACGATCAATATGGCCTTTCTCTCTGCGCCCTGTTCCCTCCCCTCAGACTGACGGCGGTCTCCAGCTCCCCGCGCACGCACAAATCAGCTCTGAAATGAGTTACACCTTTAAATATTGATGTGAGCACAGCAGCAGGAACCTGATGTCATTTTCACACACACTCAGGATCAGGCCGAGAGCACCTGCTAAGACCAACCAGCCAAAAATAACAGCTCGCTCCAACTGCTCACCGCGTGTGGCGCCCTCGCCAACACACACTCAAATGAGGTTGTCACATTCTTTCAGAATGAAGCCGAGGGCGCAGTCTGTGCACCAAAAACACTGCCGAGGTAAATCTACCGTGGAAACGTCCTTGTGTGGATGTGACCTCAGCACTGTGTTTGTTTAATGGCGTGAAAGGCGACGACGAGAAGAGGAGCGAAAGCTGCCACCTCTCCTAATCAGAGCTCATTTACAAGAGGCTGCCGCCATCTGTGGTGTCACGGGCTCCTCTCCGCCCTTAATGACAGTCTGTGTGAAAGTGAGGAGTGTGTTGCAGAAGAGGAGGAGGAGGAGGAGGAGGAGGAGGAGGAGGAGGCTGAGCGGAGGGACAACATGCAGGTGTCCCAAACTGCAGCTAATAAAAGCTCCACTGAGGAGCGATGCATCTAAATCAGGCCTGATGAGATGTTCAGGATGATGATGATGAGGATGAGGAGGAGGATGAGGAGGAGGAGGATGGTGGTTGGTGGATCAGTGCAGTAATTAGTTTCAGTGACCCAGACAGATGTTTGACTGAGTTCAGACGTGGACTCTGGTTCTGTGGAGCAGTGATACTCAACATACGGCCTGAGGGCCAAATCTGGGCCCCGATAGGGAGGCATGTGGCCCCCAACCATTTTCTGATTCACTGTGAAAATAAAGTGATTCACACTGGGATTTTTACTTTCATAAAGATTAAGCTGCTTTTATCCCATCGTACAGAATCTAACCTGACGAGCTGCTGATGCTGTGTCGTACAACCTCAGGTATTCACACACCAACAAGATTTTTCGGACATTTTATCAATGTTAAAGGTTCTTTTTGGGGAGTCTTTCCTTCCCTCATCCCTCTATCCGTGGACAGATGTGGTCTGCTGTAAAGCCTTTCAAGAAGGCAGGTGGCCAGGTGCCGTACGGCCGTTTAGATCGGCTGAAGGTGTCAAGTCCAACACAAACCATCAGCATAGAGCTTGTTTGTCAAAAAAAGAGTACCAGGGAAGGATCTAATGGATCTCTGACAGAGGTCTGAACTCAGCCCCAAATGTCCTTCAATCTTAGAAACACCCTGCGTACATGTGCAGAGCACAAGATGGTGTGACAAGTCCTCATGTGACAGGAAGCTAAACGAGTTTCATGTGTGGTACTGACGTGTCAGACGTGTTGTGATGTGTTGACGATCTGAAGAGTTTATCATCTGAGTGGTGGAGTCGGTGTGAAAGTTGGAGGTGGCCGGTGAGCAGGTGTGAAGGCTCATTATGTTTCAGTGCATTCATTACAGAGAGCAGCTCTGCCTCCATTTTCTCCACAGACAGACACACTCTGTAATCTTTCTGGAAATAAAGCTTCCAATTAAAAATACTCCATTTTCAGCCATTTATTCCTCTGATTGCTTCGACTCATGACCACATTAAAAACTCATAAATCATAATTGCAATCCCAGTGGGAGAGGCAATCAAACGTGATGCCGCAGTGAGCCTGTTAATACCTCTTCTTTTCATCTGCCACCGTTTTTTACTGCTCTCATTACGCCAGACGCCAATCAGCTCGTATCGGGTTAAAGTTTGTGTCTCTGCCTGAACCTCTCAACGTCCCGACACGCCGAGCTGACGGCCGGCTGTCGTCTGTGAGTATCTGTAGTCCTAGTGTCAGCAGTGAGTTCTGCACCTGCAGCTTTTTTTGTGCTGATTCAACATGTTGAATCGACATCAGAGCTCAACAGTGAATGACATCACTCTAACAGGAAGTTTAGCTCAGAGGAGTGTCAGTGAGTAAAGGAGGAGCTACAGTCCAGAGGGAGTGAGACCAAACCAACTTGTTCCATGAGGTCAGATTATTTTTCTCTTTAGCAGAAACGTTTCCTGATGGTTTGTGTTATTGTTCAATGGCGCACGGTAAATATGCTCTGATTGTGTTGTTCATGTGCTAACTGGCTAACTAGCATCAAGATGCTCTTCCTGGCTGTAGTCTTTGTCCTGCGCCGGGTCTGATACCCAACAGGTTCAAAGTAAAAAGATGTGTGGTATAAGTGTATTATTTTGACAGTTCCTTTTATTTTGAAAGTCAGTGACACTTTTGACCCCGTGGTCACATTGACCATGAGGTCAGACATATGACAGGTAACTGGTCAGTTCTGGTTCTGAATATTACAGGTATGGATGCAGGACCCTGCTGTGAGGTGTGTAGATGTGACGCAGCAGTCGCTCTGGTTGCTGCTGGTTCTCTGTTTGGTGTGTCGGGGCCTTTCTAACTGCGCTCTGTGCTTGGCGCCCCGCCCCCCTCCCGCGCTGCTCCGTGAGTCATCACTCCCTCTGGACTCTGACCCCTCCTCCCTGCGGCCTGGTGAGCACTTCCTCCTGGCTGATGCTCTGAGTCAAGTGCTGCGACGGGGGGTGAGACGCACAGCTGAGGTAAACAAACGCAGAGCGTCTCAGCGTCCTGTCACAACATGTTTCATGAGCCGGCCGATGACTCAATCACTGGGTACGTGGGACATATGGTGCCACCGGTCACAGTGAAATTAAAACCCTGTGAATCACAGCGACAGCCTGGCAGCAGCGAGCTGGGCACAGGAGGCGCCGGCCAATTGTACACACCCACCTGGCTTCCTGTGCACGGCTCCACCAGCCTCTGAGATTTAAATGTATTTTTTATTTTAAATCAGTGTGTTTATGGGAGGAAGTCGTCACCTCGAGTCGAGGCGATAATTAACGTCGCTTTGCGCCCGTTTAACGACTTCCCTTCATGTTTACACTGATCGTCACATTTTATTTCTGTGTCAACTCAACATGGTCTCAGCTCAGAGCTTAATATAGAGACACCGCGTCTGCCAAAAGGTAAAAGACAGATGGGCCGCATGAGCCAAGGAGAGAGGACAGTGACAGTCAGGGGAGGAAGAAGAGGAGGAAGATGAAGATGAAGAGATGAAACTCAACCTTGGTGACAAACTGGCGATGAAGAGATGAGTGAATGTGAGCGGACTCAAAGAGACGAGGGAGCAGGAGAGAGGACAGGAAGTGAAGACAGAGATGGAGTCAATGTATGTGTGAGGAAGAGGAAGAGGAGGAGGAGGAGGAGGAGGAGGAGGGAGGTGAGACAGACAGACATGTCGGGGTGAGTGACAGACTGTCACTCAGCTGGGTTTGAAGCCTGGTGCTCTGCAGCAGCTGTGATGTGGTTGGAGGAAGAACCGTGGCGTCTCCTCCTCAGCGCCGTAGGAGGAGACGCTCTCTGTGGTTACATCCATATTGTTAAAAATAGCCGTGGCGGTGGGTTATGTAAACAGGCGGCGGCAGCTTGTACTAATTGGCAATGTTTTTTCCACAAGGGAAATAAAGTGAAGAGTTTTTTCTCCTGCAGGTGATGAAGAAATTAGAACAAAGTGACAAGTCGTCTTCAGCATGTGAGAAACGGCGTCTTCGTTTTACACACATCTTAACGCCATTAACGACACACAAGCTTCTCCATGACACCAATTACACTCATCTGTGACTCTGCAGTTGTGACTGAGTCTGTTGCTTCTGCTGCACAAACATTAAAGCGTCACAACTAAACTGGAATCCAAATGTTGCCGGGAAGAATCGACGGCGACACTTTCAAGGTCAGATCGGAAATAATTGAAACAACTTTTCCTTTTGCAGCCAACTTTTCTTTTGTATCAGGATTTTCTCAAGGGTGCGATTAAACACTTTGTAACCTGCAGAACAACTTGTGTTCTATTTTGGCGCATTAAGTGAAGACGTTCCAAAATATCCCTAATTAGTTTCTGCTTCTGCAGCTTACAAGTGCATGTAATTGTTCCCTTAATGGCCACTCCATCCCAACGAGAAGCCAACCACACAAAATGGCCCCAGGCTTCACAGGCGAACGCCCTCCTCCTCCTCCTCCTCCTCCTCTAATGCTGCAGATTTATTTCTTCCACACTAAAAATAACAATTTAACTCCTGAAAGCCCCCCCAACCCCCCGAGGACCAGATTGGAACAAATGAATTATTTTGCTCTTTGAGAAGCTCCGTCCCGCTCGCTGTTCGCTGTCAGCTAGTCATCTGACAGCTTTAATACCCCACATGTGTGTGTTTCAGTGTGTGTGTGTGTGTGTGCTGACAGACATGCTTAGCAAACAGAACATGATGCTGTGTGTCACTGTGTGTGTGTGTGTGTGTGTGTTGACTGAGTGAATTCAATCATGTACACTTGTTATTAGGAATCTGCATAATATTCCACCTGAGTGCTCAGTTTAATCTGAGCGTGCTCGGTTTAATCTGAGTGCAGGAGCTCAGGTGAGTTGCTGTAACAGATCCAGTCCAGTTCAGAGTTGAGCTAACGAGCTCTGCATCTCATGACTCTGACTGGATCCAGCTAAATGAGGCGAGCTCACAGGACACAGTGATACCGTGTGGATCGCCCGCGTCTACACCAGAGTCACAGCTTCCTGTCGCAGAGACATTTGGTCTCAGACACTCAAACAGCACACAGTGTTGGTTATTTAAAGGGACGGTTCACATAAATTACAAATAAACATTTTCTCACATCTCTGCTCCTCCAACACCCAAACTCCAACAGAGGGGGCGCTAATGTTCATTAA